GGTGCCAAGACTGTTGACTGTGGAGCCAAGCAAACTAAAGCTGTGTACAATCTCAATCTCTTCACCATCCATCCTGATGCTGCCAATTGGTCCAGTGGTAAGAATCTTTGTCTTCTTGACATTGAGCCTCAATCCATATTGTAGGCTGCAGTCCTTGACACTCTGCAGCAGGCGCTTTTCACAATGATTTTTGATCCTTCACTGTTGCTGCTTTTGTCTAGGTCATGGTCTAAAGAGCACAGGAATCTCCGAAGGGCATTCTCCACTTTTTCATTATTGCTGTTTTCCACTAAGCTCTGTGGCAAAGTCAAAGGAAATGGCCTAGGAAAGCCATTTTAAAAAATAAACCCACTATGCCACAAATCTGTAAAAGGAACCCTGCTAAGAGAGTAATAGGCCTGCTAAGAGAAAGGTCAGTGGTTTGAATCCACTCGGAGGGAGAAAGATGAGGCAATCTCTTCCTGTAACTATGTACAGCCTCAAAATATAAACTGTAATAGAAGTTTGTTCAGCAGCATTTTTTCCCTGAATTTCTTAATACTTCTGATATTTGTCAGATTTTTTAAATTGGGAATTTGTTGTGATTTCTTCATCCTAGATAAAGTTTCTGTTTTATACTTTAAAAAAGTTTTGCTGCTTCCGAAACTCAGTGTAATGTCATGTCACTATGAATCAGAACTACTCATGTACAATAACGGTGTTAGTTTTAAAAAATTTTAAGTACTGCAAAAATTATAAAAATATGAAACAGACATGAAATCATAGCATTCTGTTGGAAAAATCCCAATAAGCTTGCTCACCAAAATGTTATCATGAACCTTCAATGTGTAAAACAAAAAATTATCATCTGTAATAAAACAAGTTATGATTATAAATAGCTCTTAAAACAGCAAAATGCACAAGGCAGACTTTTTTTCACTAATTAAATGAAATTATTATTTGAGTTCAAGAAGTCTTCAGGGGATATTTTTGGTTTAAATTTTAGAGATTATTTCAGGGTAATAGTTTCAGGGTTCATGCACTTCCCTTGAGGAATTTACTTTTAAAAAAAATGCATAAATCATGGAGCATTTCCTACATCAGTGCACAGATTCACTTAACAGAATGGAGTTTGTTTAGCCATAGACATAAAAATGGTCAGTTCTGCTCTACCAAGTAAGGTTTTGTTCTCAGTAATTGACTGTGTGGCCAATTATCCTGTAGATTCCATTTCAAATAGAAAAGATTTTAATGCAGCCTGGGTCTCTGTGACAGGTAAGCAGTGCTAGGTGCTGGGAAGCTTGGGTGGAGATGATGTGGCAAAATACCCTCAGAATTAGTCTGATGGTAAAGCAGCATGTCCATGGTTTCATGCACTTACTTAAAACCTGCTGAATGACTGCAGACTTGGGAGACTATGAAAATCACCGTTCTCTGCTCCTGAGACCTCCCACCCCCAACTTACCCTTGGTCAAGTATAGTTTTTGCTGTAGCTGTTGAGAAGTAGCTCCTGCTTTAGAACTGGGTATCTGTTCCCTTGGGAGGTGCAGCAGGTGCAAATACTCTGGGGAGTCAGCTGTTTTGTTCTCTGACCACAGAGGAGAAGTCAGTTTCACAAGAATCAAGAACAAGTTGTAGAACCATTAGAAATTTTTTATTACTAATTTTAATGAAAATTTACAGAGACTTTGGATTTCCATTCATTCACTGTTGCACTTTTCTCCCTGCCCACCCCTCCCCACAAGTTCACTCTTCTCTTTGAAAAGTAAAATTCTTTGTTTGTTATACAATCCCTCCCCCCAGGTCCACTCCACTATGCAGCCTTAGTTCTGGACTCCTGGCATGACAATAATACCTATAATACTTAATCACATATCCCTTTTAAACAGTTTTCTCCCTCATCTGCTTCAATGCAGTATGCATTATTGAACCCATCTTTTTCAGTCTCGCCCCAAACCTGATGTCAGTCCTGCTTTACAACAGTGGCACCATGCCACATGTCCTTTTGTGACTGAGATATTTCCCTCAGCATAATGTCCTCCAGAGTCACCCATTTTGAATAATATTGCATGAGTTCCTTGTTTTTCAATGCAGCATAGTATTTCATTGTGTGAATATACCACAGCTTCTCTGTATGTTTGTTTGTTGATGGGCACTTAGGTTGTTTCTAACTCCTTGCTATTATGAACAAAGCCGTGATAAACATGGGTGTGTATGTATCTGCCTGGATGTCAGTTATGGTCTCTTTGGGGTATATTCCCAGTAGTGGAATTGCTGGGTTAAATGATATCTCTGTTTGCAGCTTTTTGAGAAAGTGCCACACTGCCTTCCATAGTGGTTGCATCATCTTACACTCCCACCAACAGTGAATAAGGGTTCCAGTTTCTCCACAACCTCACCATCATTTGTTGTTTGCTGTTCTGTTAAATTTTGCTATTCTTACTGGGGTGAGATGACATCTTATAGTTGTTTTGATTTGCATATCTCTTAGAGCTAGGGATTTTGACCATTTCTTCATGTGTTTGTTGGCCATCTGAATGTCTTCTTTAGGGAAGTGTCTGTTCATATCCTGTGCCCATTTTTCAATTGGATTGCTTACCTTTATCTTGTTGTGGTGAGACATTTTTAAATATATAACACCTGACTTCGACTGAAGGCAGCTAATAATTCCCCCCCCTTTTTTTAATTTCCTAGGCCATATAAATGGAATTCTTGTGGCCTAGCTGTAAGAAGCTATGCTGCAATCCCAAAGGCAGTTCAAATACATCAGCTGCTCCATGAGAGAAGGATGGGCAGTCTCCTCCCATGCGATTTACAGCCTCTGAAAACCCACCAGAGGGTCAGCCATCAGTGAGTGGGTACATATAAAGGGAGCTCTG